CCCCTGGCCCCAGTGAGACCTCATGGTGTCCCGTGCTTGCTTACCTGATCTTATAATCGCTCTGATGGTCAGGAAGGCTGACCACATGGGAATTCTTAAATCAAGGCACATGATTGTTATAAGAATAGACGCTAACATGGGCAGATTGTGAGGTCAGGAGTTCGAGCCCAGCCCGCCAACGTGGTGAAACACTGTCTCTTAAAACTACAAAATCAGCTGGGCATGGTGGTGGGTTGCCTGTAATTCTAGCTACTGGGGAGGCTGTCAGAAGAATCACTTGAACCCAGGAGGCAGAGGTTTCGGTGAGCCGAGATCATGCCACTGCACTCCAGCCTGGGAGACACCAGCAAGACTCCATCTCAAAAAAAAAAAAAGAAAAATTGTTGTCAAATGTCCAGTTGATAAAACCATGGGATCTTCCTGGTATATCTGTCTTTTGAGAAGTCATGGTGTTGAGATGGAAGGACATTGTATGAGTTTTTAAATTTTGAGACAATCTCGCTCTGTCACCCAAGCTGGAGTGCAATGGCGCAATCTCGGCTCACTGCAACCTCCGCCTCCCAGGTTCAAGCCATTCTCCTGCCTCAGCCTCCCAAGTAGCTGGGACTACAGGTGGTGCCCACCACCACGCCTGGTTAGTTTTTGCATTTTTAGTAGAGACGTGGTTTTGCTATATTGGCCAGGCTGGTCTTAAACTCCTGACCTTGTTGTCCACCCACGTCAGCCTCCCAAAGTACTGGGATTACAGGTGTGAGCCACTAAGAGTTACGTTTGTCTGAACTTTCCTTCTCCAACTCAGCATTTTTATACAAGCTGTCTCAGGGCAAATACGTGACAATAATCTGCCTCTGCTCCCCCAAGCCCCCCACCCCAGGATATTCTCTGCTTTTCAGTATGTTGGATGGCCATCCTGAATAATGATTATAGAAAGTAACACAAACTAGCTGGGCGTGGGGGCTCACACCTGTAATCCTGGCACTTTGGGAGGCCGAGGAGGGTGGATCACCCAAGGTCAGGAGTTCAAGACCAGCCTGGTCAACGTGTCAAAACCCCGTCTCTACTAAAAATACAAAAATTAGCTGAGCGTGGTGGTGGGTGCTGGTAATCCCAGCTACTTGGGAGGCTGAAGCCAGAGGATCACTTGAACCCAGGGGTTGGAGGTTGCAGTGAGCTGAGACTGTGCCATTGCTATATTGGCCAGGCTGGTCTTAAACTCCTGACCTTGTTGTCCACCCACGTCAGCCTCCCAAAGTACTGGGATTACAGGTGTGAGCCACTAAGAGTTACGTTTGTCTGAACTTTCCTTCTCCAACTCAGCATTTTTATACAAGCTGTCTCAGGGCAAATACGTGACAATAATCTGCCTCTGCTCCCCCAAGCCCCCCACCCCCAGGATATTCTCTGCTTTTCAGTATGTTGGATGGCCATCCTGAATAATGATTATAGAAAGTAACACAAACTAGCTGGGCGTGGTGGCTCACACCTGTAATCCTGGCACTTTGGGAGGCCGAGGAGGGTGGATCACCCAAGGTCAGG